TTGGGACTATAGGAGGAACTTCTAAGTTATTTTACAATTCAACAAAATAAGGTTTACTTTGCCTAACATATATCCAGCAAGGCTATATAACAAAGATAAAGTGGCATTTAACATTTCTGGATGTGGACCCCTTTGTGACTCACATGAGGATCAGAAATCCACCAAGTAGGAGGGGCCCTGATGCGACATGAGTGGGACTTTTGTGTCTTTGGATGATCACAAAGCTACTTCAGAGAGGAAGGGATCAGTTAAGTCCCACATATAGCTCTGTTGTTGTTTAGTCTTCCGATCATATCCAACTCTTCATCACCCTGTGGACCGAAGCACGCTAATAATTTCCATGGTGTTTACTTGCAGACATACTGGAGTGGTTCACATTTTCTTCTCAATTGTATTAAGACAAACAGAAGTTAAGTGCTTTCTACAGAGTCACATAGTGAGTGAGTGTCTGAGGCCAGAGTTGAACTAAGTTCTTCCCGACTACAACCCAGAATTAGAACCATGCAGCCATCTACTTGCCTCTTTTGTTGGCATGTAGGGGAAACGAATTCCTATTTTGGAGGAAACTAATTCCTGTTGCAGGGAAACAAGGTAATCCTAGTTCTAACATATAGCAATACCATGAGGGGAAGGACATAATGATCTTTAGAGCAGTGGTATTAAATACAAATAGAAATATGTGGGCCACAAATTGACTTAGAAAACTCACAAATTAACATGTCTTTGTTGTATTAGATTGTTTAAAAATTTTGTTAAACATTTCTTCATTACATATACATTTGGTTCAGGAGTTCTGTTCTAGAAGACCTTCTAATTATTTAGATATTGTCATGTCTTTTACTGTACAATGCACCCAAATACAGGCAGTACTAGAGGTAAAAGACAGAAAAAAAGATGTTAGGGGGCATATAACTTCACCCCAAAGAATTACCAAAAAGGAAAAATATAATGTCAAGGTGGACAAAAGTCTCCCCCACCCCCTTTAGAAGGTTTAAGTATAGGATCTCAATGACCCAGTGCATGGGGTGGATGTGGCCATGTCTTAGCATTCACAGAAGTCTAGTAATGCAAAGATGATGATGATGAGCCAGTAAGCTTGAGCAGCTCCATTCAGGTAAAAAAGTCAGAGTAAATACACATTTATTAAGTATTTACTATGTGCCAGTCACTGGACTAAAGCATGAAAATACAAAGAAAAGGCATAAGATGGTCCCTGCCCTCAAGGTTCTCGAACTATCTAATAAAGAAAGAGAATATAGAGAAAAAATAAATTAAAAAGAGTAAAGAGGACACCTGACTCAGGGATATGAGAAAGTCTTGTTGCCAGGGTAAGAAATAATGAGGTGAATAATCGACGTTTCCTTATTGTTCATCTTTGGTTTCTGAGGGTACAATGACATCACAGATAGGATCTAAGTGAGGCAGAGTTGCACAAAGTCATCAGACTCACTCTCTCTTTCAGAGTCTTCAGTGGGAAGGCAGAAGTCAGGATAATTGGTGACAGCCCAGGATGCGGTGGAGGACCTTGGTGTCTTTGATGTCTCGCCAAGTTCTAAGTGCTGCGCAGGATGTGCTACAGACACCTTCGTGGTCATTGGAACAAAATATTCTTATTTATCCATTCCACCAAGGAAGTCTTCACATGCTTGGGGTAGACATCCCTCTAGCATCAAAAGGTTTGAGGCCTGTCAGCTCTCCTCAACCTGGCTTATATCATATGCTGAGACAGTTTTACCAGTACAATTTCTTGGAGCCACAGGTGAGAGTTGGGTAAAAGGTTAACACCAAAGGTGGATGAGCAGCCCTGAAAAGGGCTCAGTAACTCTCACACCAGAGGTGCTAGTCCTCTGTGGACACCCCATACAGTCCTCTGTGGACACCCTAATAAAAAACTGAAATACTACAACCCAGAGTTTGTTTTCAAGCACTAAAAAATATCTACCCCTACTTAAAAATTATCACAAAATATCTTCAGTACCAGTGACATTACCCAAGTCACATCTCAGGAACCAGTGCCACAGTCATTCCATCTGGCAGGTTCTGTCCTGAGCAACAAGCATTGAGGCAGACTCTCACTCTTTTCCACATATTCAAAAGTGGAACCAGCCAGTGGACAGCATGATCTTACATAGCAACATCATTTAAAATTGATCAATAGGAAAAATTAAGTCCAACTTCTCAGGCATTCTTTGTTCTCAAATAAGGGTGAAATGTATGTTTCCCCTTTCAGAATAACAAAGCACTTTCACACTAAGATTTCCCCTACCTGAGATGACACCCTCCTTTAAGTCCCCAAACAACAATGTACTTCATCTTTATTTTGCCCAACTGTTCTTTAACACACAACCGTTATTAATGTACCTTAAAACTTGATTTGCCAACTCCAAGTAGTAACAACCCTTTTTGGAAAGAAGCTTATTCTACACATTACTAATGTGAGCTCTGACCAGATTTCTAATTTGGCTTCTATTATAACTGAAGCCACCAAAAAAGTAAACCATTGCTAAGGTGGGTCACAATGGACAAGTAGGTCTCTAGACACTAGGCTATCCCATAACCCTGTTAACAATTTATGGAAGATTTGTGAGCTTTGGCATTGATATTATCTTGCAGAAAAATGAGATTCTAAAGATTCTTAAGTCCAAGAGGGCAACTAGATGGGGAATTATGAGTTTAATTGCTTGGATGTCAACCCTATGTAATATTTTTGAGCAGAGACCTTCAGCAGCATCCTCTTTGCAGGGTCAAAACAGTCTAAAAGGAGAGACTAGTGGACATTTTGCTTTATATGACAGAGGGATATAGTTTGATCTGGAATATACTTGAAAGAGACAGACTTGCAGAAGATGGTAAATTGGGACCATTTTGATACCAGGAAGAGGAATATGGATTCTCCAAAATATGAAGATTATAATAAATCTCTGGGCTTTTTTATGTCTTGGGGAGGCAAGTGTCAGGAACTTAATCCAAATTATTCCCAAAATCCTCTAGGTTTCCCTCATCTACTGTATTCCCCAAAACTTGATTGAATGGGCCATTCCCTAAATTTTATTAGGGTTGAATTCATGCCACTTACTCAATTCAATTCAATTGAATAAACACTGAGTGTTTAATATGTGCAAGGCACTGTGTTAAACTCTTCGGCTACAAATAAGAAAAAGACAAGTCATGCCCTCAAGGATCTTATAATTTAATAGAAGTCAACACACAAAAGGAAGCAGGAAACTTGATGGGGAGGGTAATGGTGGGGAAGGGGTACCTAGACATGCTCTGATAACTTCTTTACTGAAACTGAAAATATGAATTACAACAAGTGCAAAATGGAGTGAACTGAAAGTCCAACTTCTGTTTTCTGTAAAGGAAGATTTTATATTCTACCTCTCTACCTCCAATCAGAGAGGAAAAGAGGCTGAGGGAAGTGTTGTCTAGGATTGAGTTATCAGCATGGTGATGACATTAGAAGTGATGAGCTTATTCTGGGAGGAGCCTCTTGTCCTGTGGAGGTGAAACCAAGAAACACCATAGCCTCATCTGGTAAAGTCACCATTACGTCATCGTTGTATTGGTCTAGATCAATGTGCTTAGGATGGAAGGTCTCTTTCAGGTCTCTGCCCATCGGTAGAGACTTGTATGAGACAGTTCAGGTAGCCCTGGGGAGGGATAGTAAAATGCTGCATTTTGTCTGAGGTCAAAACAAATGGCCCCTGGCTAGTCTCAGCCATAGAATTAGAGAAACAAACATTGGTAAGGTCAATGACTCCATATCATTCACTCTGGATCTGGGCTGCCTATTCAACAACTTTGAGAATTTCAGAAACAGCTGTATGCTGTGCATCATGACTTTGTTCAGCTCCACAGTAAACTGCCAGGTGCCACCTGCCTTCCTCAGGCACCACAAAGTTGTTGTAAGGGAGTTGGTATAACAAAATATTCCAGCTTCCTTCATTCTGTCACCAGAGAACATCTTTCACTTAATCCATCTTCACACAGTGACCCTATGCTACATGGTGACAAATACATGTTATGGTTCAGCTAACTTTAAGGGGTTTCCATTTGACCTGTGCACAAGGATTGCTGAAAAGATCTACAAAGATTCTATCTCTTCTCCCTTACCCCCCATGATCTGATTTATTTAACCTCTCCTGAATGACTCAAATGGCTTTCAAAGTTGAGTCAGGCTTGGGTGAGGTTGAAAGTCCCCTAGTGTCCTTAGTGCTGAATCCCCAATACAGTTATACTAGCTAACCATCATTTGCTTTATTTACTTCATGATTCAGAACTCACATCCCAAACCATTTGCAGACGAGGGTGTCATTGCCCTTCACCCACCTGGCAGGCAGGAAAATGTAGAGACTCATTTTACCACTCTCAGAACATTCACTCATATCCATAGATAGCTACATATGCACAGATTAACAGTCAAAATCCACCCCCCTCAAAAGTCACCCATTAGTCAGTTCACAATTTTATTGTTGTGTATCTCTATAGGCAGCAGGGGGAACCCATAACTAAAATCTAAAGTCATTCTTATGATATTCATTCAGAAGGCAAGGTTTAATTGACCCTGAGATGGCTTGGGTATGAGTGGGTGGTAAACAAATCTAATTTCACAAATCCATTCCCTTTAGGAAGTTCACTCCCTGATTTGTAGATTTCCACTAGGGACCTGGCTGCAAGGGGAATCCATTTTTATAGGAGCAGGTGTGAGTAACTCCCTGTCTCAGCTAACTAAAAAGGGACAAATAGTATTGCCTTTTAGAGGCTGTAATAAATTTAGTTGAGTTTCCCCTGCTATGGAAGTCAGTTATGAAGAGTACCTTGGCATTGGCTCTGTAAGTCACGTAAGAACAATTGTACCAGACACTCATCAGATAGTTGTTTGAACTTCTGTAACTACCCAAGCTCCTTGGTGGACAAAGTTGGCTCTACCTTGCTCTTTCAAAACATGGAGCTATTAGACTCTCAGTAAGAGTAATATGATAAGCCTGAAACTTTCTTACCAGCAGTCAGAGTTCCCAGGTGATTACTGCATATCTGTTTTGATCCTCCTGTCTTCTGGTTCATATCTCACCAGGTAGGGAAACACCAACAAAAAGTCACAAGTGACTTTGCATAAGACTTGTAGCAGGCCTCTGTCAGATTGTGGCAACAGAGATTTTGCACTGTCTGTCCAACCCTAGAAAGAGTGATTTCTAAGCATGAGAAGTGGTTGATAATGATACCATTTGATTTAGTCCCTGACCTGGGGATATCCTAGAAATCCAATGTTGGCTTTCTTGTGGTAGATATTATAACCAAAGTACATCCTTCCTTCCTGTATGAAAGAGTTTTGCACTGTGGCCAATGTCATTCATGTGAACAAGGAAAATTTTAACTTTCATGATCTTTTCTGTCATACCCCCTCCAACTGGCATCTCCAACTGTATATCACATTATTAAACTTGCATCATTCCTGATACTGCAATAAATATATGCCTTTTCAAAGCTTATCACCGCTAGTGTGGTGAAGAGAAAGAATGAAAGAACCAAGACCTGCACAGCAAGTGTAGTGCAATATCTCTCATAATCAGGATAGTTATAGTACCCTTCTGCTCACAATGACGTTGGCTTTTTGTAAGAACATGTTCGTTCATCTGCCTGTAACTTGATTTTTTTTTCTTACTATAGTTCCCATAGTCAATGACTATCTGGTGCAGTTCTTCTCAGGCATCTTATTTTACACATGAAGAATCATCTAAGGGCCAGCGAAGTTAAGGCAATTTTCCAGGGCCACATGATTAGTATATGTCATAAGCAAGTTTTGAATCCACCTCTTCTGACTCCAAATCCAAGGTCCTTTTCATTGAACTATACATTCTCTCTATTTATAGAAACTCTCTTGACTTGCTATTGTCAATTCTGGGCAAATTCTAGCCTTAGAGTATGGTCTGGGATAATCAGGGTTTGACATATTTGTTCATGTTCATGCAGAACATGAACAGAACGCAGAATCTCATTATATCAAACATGGCTTTGTGTTTACTAAGCCATTTACATATCTGAGAGGAAGCCTGGAAGAATGGAATAACTAACACTTGTATAATAGTTACCATAAAGTAGTAGATAGAGTTATGAATTATGAAGACCTGGGTTCAATGCCTGGCTCTGACACTTGCTAGCTGTCTGATTTATTCTGGGGAAGTCATTTAACCTATGTCTCAAGCACCTCCCTAGGACAGATTATGGACAAGGTTTGTCCCTCCATTGGTACAAAGATAACACATGGATGAAATCACATTATATTTATATATAAACATGCCTGGGCATATATTATAGATCATATGTAACATATGTGTATATATACATACATTTTATCCAATAAATATGTATAGGTGATGGGGGATTGGTTGTTTTTCAGCGTCATATAATCTGTTTTTTCATATAATTTCAGCAGATATATAGATAATTGTTTAATATTACTTTACTTATTGAATTACATGTTGATATTTCTCCATATGAATTCAAAGTACTTTATGTTCACTTTCTTATACTTTTAGAATAACCCCATTTGTGTTATATTTATATGTTTACATTTTTTATCTTCCTCGACTAGATTATAACTTCATTGAGGGCAAGTGCTATAATTTATCATCCTATCTAATCTCCCAACCCTGTGAGTCATGGCTAGAATACAGTCTAGTATATGGAAGAAGACAAGAGAGTCAGGAAATATTTATTAAATGCCCTTTATATGCCAGGTATTATGAAAATCTTATACTAATATTATCTCATTTGGTCCTCACAACAGCCTGGGAGGTAGGTGCTATTATTATTCTCATTTTGTAATTCAGGAAACTGAGGCAAACCATTTAGGTGATGTTCAGGATCACATAGTTATAAAGTGTCTAAAGACAGATTTGAATTCAGCTCTTCTGGATTCCAAATCCAGTGCTTTATCTACTTTACCATTTGAAAGGAAGGAAGTAAAAGAAGATAAGAAGATATCCTTATTTGTATCAGTACAAATATATATGAGTCTCTATAGCTCATAGACTCAATTATGTAAGTTATGGTTAATGGATGCAATATTTTCCTTTGGCCATGTCAGAATCTACAAAAATAACAGATATAGCCACTCTCTGTCATAAGGTGGTTATAGAAACAGTCTCATAATTGTCTCTCTCAAAGTGTATGTACACAAAAATATATATACATACATAATATGTATGTTTGCTTATGTATATATGTATACATGTTTAAGTATGTATGCATGTATATATGCATATACATATATATACAAACACACACACATACACATATATATAAGCACATAGAAAGTGCTTAATAAATACTTAATTAATAGATTAATATAGTAAGATGATTCAGTTAAGTGCCCAGCACTTGCCACAGCAATCTCTCCTCCCAAAGTGATTTTGCTGCTTCTGATGGTTCGCTAAGAAGTAACCGAATGATTGTATCTCCCTTAACCATGCGAGATTCTGCATAAATTGTGCCCTCAAATGAGGACAAGGTATGAAAGCTATCCAGTGTCATTATATATTCTTTCATTAGGTGAGCTACAGGAACATGCAATAAGTCATGGCACGTTATAACATCAAGCTGCTTTCTGCCAGGTGGTAATCTAGGCTCTCACAATAGGAACAAATACAATAAATAATGAGTGGGAAGAAGTTCACTGTATTCTCCCTTTCCAAATGCAAAGACTAGGCTGTAGAAGATGGTAGTGCTTATCTTTAATGAATTATATTGTTTGTTTGTAAGATTGTCCTTAGTGTATTCAGGATTTCTTTGGAAATCTGAGTTTCTGGGCCTGCATAATACAGTTTATATTTTTAATATATTATGAAAATCTTTTGATATGGTTGAGAGAGCATCTCTATTCTAAACCCTTATTATTTCTCCCTTGGATTTCTCTTGATCTTCCTAACTACTGCGTTTTCAGCTTTTGTTATTCAAATTCATCTTTATAACTCTGCATTGCATCATTTGTAAACAGGTGCAGACATGGGGAATTACACGTGGCTTTGTGCTCTACATATACTGTGAGCTAATGTTCATATTATGTTTAACATTTGCTCTGAGTTGTGGGTTTGTAAATGCTGCAACTATATTAAATGTCATTTCAGCGTCTTGTAAACCCTCACATCCTCTCATCTTAGCATGAAAATGAACTTGAAAACTCATCAATATACCAAAATAGAATGCAGGCTATAATTGGCAGGAGACTAGAGGGAAATAACTGATGCAAAAAGGTGATATTTTATTTATTAAAGATGAAGGAAAGTGTACATGCAAATAAAAGATGAGGAAATTACTTGGAGATAAATAATGGAATTCCAAATAGATATATTACTCACATCTCCTTGATGACTACATTTCCTTGCCATGACAATTTTTCAAAGTCTGTTTAAGAGAATTTCTCATCTTATCAAAGATGTATATTTGAAGAAACTGAGGCAAACATAGTTCAAAAAACTTAATCAGAATCATAAAGTTAGTAAGCATTTGATGCCAGATTTGAACATTCACACCTGGAAGGAAAGAAGGAAATAAAAGAACAAATGAAGATATCTTCATTAGTTGATCATAAATAATAGCCTTTTAGTTGATAAAAAAAAATAGGTTTGCTTATTCAGGAAGCAGAGAAAGAAAAAGAGAAATAATGTAGAAAGTCCAAGTGTTGTGACTATAATCTTCAGGGGTTAGGAATTTTTAGTCTTTCCTGAGAAGCAGATAAAATGTATTCAAGTGATATGTTTAGTATCTTTATACCACACATGGCTACTATTGAAAATTATCTATAAATGTTATTACCTCTGATTGCTTAACTTCCAGGATTGGTTAAACATTTTCTAGCTAAAATTAATTGTGAATCTTGCCTAACACATTCCAACTTAAAGGAATGATCAAAATAGAAACTCATTTCTTGTCTTAGAGTTCATTTTCCTAATTGACCTTACTAAACCACATTCCCATTTAAATATAATTTGACAGTGAGGCAGAGGCAATTTTCTCAGTTTTACATAAAGTCCTATTTCAGCCAAACTAAAAAAAAAAACTGTTAACTTTCAAACAATAGACTATTAATATCAATTCTTAAAGACAGAGAAAGCCCATCTTTAAAATGTCTAATCTTTACAAAGTATCATGCCTAGTATAGTTGTTGCACCAAGATTATTATGGAATTAAGATGGTAGAGCAGAGGCAGAAACTCACCTGAACTCTCCCAGATTCGCTTCCAAAACAGCTTTAAAATAACACTTCAAATTGAATTCTGGATCATAGAATCAGCTAAAAGGTCAGAGTGAAACAATTCCCCAGCCTAAGACAACAAAGAAGATTGGCAGGAAAGGTCTGTCACACCTGGGTGGTGATTAGCTCCAGAGTGCAGCACAGCCACTGCTCCTGCAATGTCAGCAGCAGGCCTTAAAAGCAAATGAATCAGCAGTTGCAGTAGTTCTGGGAGTTCTCAGCTAACAGATGGTAAAGGGGATTAGAAATCTGGTCAGAAAGAGATTACAGGTGACCATTCGCTGGCACTGTCTTCAGGATCCTGTTGCATCATCCAGATGTGTGGTCACAGTCCCAGGGCAAAGAGGAGCACTAATGCTTGTAGCAAAAGAAGAGTAGGGACCTTGATCCCAGTTTCAAGACAGAAAGAATTAGCACTTGCAGCCACAAGGGAACATGGGACTGGGTCACAGTTCCAGGGTCAGCATGAGCACCAGCATTTGTGGCTACAGTTAAACAATATCTATTCCTGGGTAAAAACCACAGCAAAGACTATTGGGCCGGTGATCACAAATCTCCTATTCAAGCAGTCAAAAAGAAATAATTCAAATTTTCTGAAGCCACAGTCAGCATTAAAGAAGCTTCTACATTAAAGGATCAGACGGCTTGAAATGTGATATTCCTGAGGGCAAATGAGGTAGAATTATAAGCAAATATAAGCTACCCAGTAAAACAAAACAAACAAACAAACAAACAAAAAAACCTGAGTATCATCCTTCAGAGGAAAAACAACAACAACAACAACAACAACAACAACAATGAATATTTAATGAAATAGAGGACTTTTAAGCATTCCTGATTGGGAAAACCAAACAAAACAACTGAACTCCAAAGAAAATTTGCATTCAACCATGAGACTCAAGAGAAGGATAAAAAGATAAACATGAAAGAGAACTAATTAGGGTTAAATGTTGACATTGCTATATGTGAAGATGACACTTACAACTCCTCAGATCATTATTAGAGTAGTTATTTAGAGTGTATATATGTAGACAGAGGACATGAGTGTGAATTGATAATGATGGGATGATTAAAAAAAATAAACAAGGAGTGAAAAAAGAAGAATGAAATTGGAGAAGGAGAAAGAAGGGGTAAAATGGGGATAATTATCTCACATAAAAGAGGCATGATATGAAGAGTTTTTACAGTGGAGGGGAAGATGAGAAAAGTCCTGGCTGGCAATGCTTGAATCTTACTCTTATGAGTATTGGCTCAAAGAAGGAATAATTTACACATTCAATTGGGTATAGAATATCTATCTTACAAGTGGGAGGGACAGAAAATAAGAGAATGGGGGGGGAGGGCAGATTAAAGGAGGCAGTAGTTATAAGCAAAATTGACTTTTGAGGAGAACCAGGGCAAAAAAAGAGAGAGAGAAGGATAAAGAGGGGGAAAATAGGATACTACATAATAGTAATCATAACTATGAATGTGAATGGGATGAATTCACCCATAAAACAGAATTAGATAGCAGAAAGGATTAAAAATAAGAATCCAACAATATTTTGATTTTAAGAAACACACTTGAAACAAAGAGACACATAGAGTAAAAATAAGGGAATAGAAAAAAAATCTGTTATGCTTCGGATGACATTAAAAAAAGGCAGGGGTAACAAACCTGATTTAAGACAAAGTAAAATCAAAAATAGATCTAATTTTAAAAAGATAAGTAGTGAGACTATATTTTGCTAATAGGTATCATAGAAAAGGAAGTGATATCAGTATTAAACATTTATGCATCAAATGACATAATATCTAAATTTTTGAAGTAAATGTTAAATGAGTTACAGAAAGAAATACACAGTAAAACTCTACTTGAGGGGGATCTAAAATTTCCCCTCTCAGAATTCAATAAATTTAACCATAAAATAAGCAAAATAAGAAATTAAGGAGATTAAAAAATAATTTTAGAAAAGTAAGATATGATAGACCTCTGGAGAAAATCAAATGGGAATATAAAGGAGTACACAATTTTCTCAGCTGTACATGGCTCCTTCACAAAAAAAAAAAAGCTTAAGCATTTGGGCATCAAAACTTTACAATCAAATGCAGAATGTGAAATACTAAATGTATCCCTTTGGAACCATAACACAATAAAAATTACATTCAATAATGATTTTATACAACTAGAAAAAGAGTAAGATACTTTATCTAGAAGAACAAAAGGTCAAGAATATAAAGGAAATCAATGAAAAATAATGTGAAGGAGACAGCCTAGAAGTACCAGATTTCAAAAAGATTACGAAGTGGTAATCATCAAAACAGTCTGGTGTTGGCTGAGAAATAAAGTGATATATCAGTGTAATAAATTAGGTACATGATACACCATAGTAAATGACGATGGCAATCTATTTTTTGTCAAACCCATGGATTCCAGCTTTTGAGACTCACTATTTGATTAAAAAAAATCTGAAAAAACTGAAAAGCAGATTGACAGAAGCTAAATATAAACCAACATTTGACACTGCATACCAAGATAACATCAAAATAGGTACATGATTTAGGCATAAAGGGTCATATTTTAAGCAAATTAGAAAAGAATGAGGAATTTTACCTGTCAGATTTATGGATAAGGGAAGAATTTATAATGAAACAAGACATAGACAGCACTATGAGCTATAAAATGGATAATTTTGATTGCATTATTTTTTAAATGCACAAACAAAATCAATACAATCAAAGTTAGAAGGAAAGCAGCAAACTGTGAAAAAATACAGCATATTTCTTTTAAAAAGTTCTAATTTCTCAAATATATAGAGAACTGAGTCAAATTTATAAGAATATGATTCATTTCCCAATTGATAAATGGTCAAAGGATATGAACAAGTAGATTTCAAATGAAGAAATCAAAGCTTTCCATAGTTAAAAAAAATGTTATAAATTACTATTGATTTAGAGAAATGCCAGTGAAAATAATTCTGAGGTGGCACTTCAGATTAGCTAATGTGTAAAAAATTGACAATTGTTGAAAGAGATGTGGGAAAACTGGGACACTAAAGCACCATTGGTGGGCTTTGAACTAATTCAGCCATTCTGGAGAGCAATTAGGAACTATGCCTAAAGGGCTATAAAATTGTGCATATACCCTTTTATCCAGAAATACCACTGCTTAGGGCTGTATATCAAAGAGACCAAAAAAAAAAATTCAAAAAGGACCTATATGTAAAAAATATTTATAGCAGTTATTTTTATGGTGGCAAAGAACTGGAAATTGAGGGGATGCCCACCAATTGGAGCATGGTTGAACAAGTTGTAATACATGATTGTGATGGAATAATATTTTGTTATCAGAAATGATGAGCAGGGTGCTCTTAGAAAAACCCACAAAGACTTAGATGAATTGATGCAAATTAAAATTAATAGAGCCAGGAGAATATTGTACACAGCAACCACAATATTGTATGATAGTCAAGTGTGGATGACTTAGCTATTATCAGCAATACAATGATCCAAGACAATTCTGAAGGACATATGATGCAAAATACTAACCACCTCCAGGGAAAGAATTGATGGATTCTGAATGCAGATTGAAGCATACTTTTTAAAACTTAAATTTTTTTTGTTTTGTTTTGGCTTGTATTTTCTTTTGCAATGCATTTAATATGGCTATGTGTTTTGCATGACTGCAAATGTATAATCTATATCAAATTGCTTGCCTTTCTCAAAGATGTAGGAATAGAGGGAAAGAAGATGAGAATTTGTAACTCAAAATTAAAAAAAATAATAATAATGTTAATTCTTTTTAGTTGTAATTGAGAAAAAACATTGTGTAATATTAGCAGTTAGAAGGAGCTAACAAAAGAAATATTTTAAAAATGTGACAGCGGGATATCAATACTGGGAAACATAGGAATGAATAAATGAATTAATTAAAAGATTTTTATTGGGCACTTATACCAATTGGTATGCTAAATTCTGGAGATATGAAGAAAAAGTAAGCATGCGATCCTGTCCCTCAAAAAGCTTACATTCTAATAAGACTATATTATTGACACCAGAAATAAGTGCTGCTAAAGTGGGTAGATATGAGTAGAAAGGGTATTGCAGACAGCACTTTACATGAGGAGAAGGAAAGTATTGGGGAAAAGAAAGTGTGGAAAAGAGAAAGATCATCCTTGTTGTCCTCATAGTAATTGTAGTTGTTGATCATTCTCAAGGAGGACCAATGACATCAGGAGGGTGATGTCTTGACTTGCAAGTGAATTGCATTTAAGTGAGATAGAGCTGTGCAAAGTCATAAGCCCCATCCTCCTCCAGAGTATGAGTCCATGGGCAGCACACGGGTCAAGATGTCTTTCCTAGGTCTCAGGTTATCTGAGGCAACACCCATTCATTAGTTAAAGATTAGGTAAGAATTGAGATAAAAGATGGTCTACTTTGCCTTCGCAAAACAATTGATAGAGGAGGGAAAGTACCTCAGAGTTTCTGCATTACATTCTAATAAGACTACATTGTGGAGGCCAGAAATAAGTGATGATAAATTGGGTAGATATCAGTAGAAAGGATATTGCAGACAGCACTTTGTATAAGGAAAGGGAAAGTATTGGGTAAAAGAAAATGTGGAAAGGAGAAAGAGCATTGTATAACTAGTGAGAAAGAAGAAGGCAGAAGGAAGCCATACTGTAGAAATGGTTAAAATCCGTCATGAAAACTATTCAATTATTTCTCTTTAGACAAGCACAAATGCATGTTTACAAATGTCCTGGGCTCTTTTTGAAGTGAAATTGAAGTACCATTATCCATCCAGAGTCGATATTCAGACCCTCCCATAAATGTCTCCGTCTAACTGTTTGAGCTCTGGGGCTTGTTATGGGCCATATTTTCAGTTGAGATTGATTATACCTCTTTCCTGGCACATTGCTGGACAAGTTTAGGAAGTAAACTAGTCACTCAGTGCTTAACTGAGCTGCCTTGGTAGGAAGATAAAGGCTGATACAGGACATTATATCATAACTTACAATATACTTAGCTCAAACATGTAAGTTATTGACTCATGATGTTTGTGTAACCCAGACTTAAAAACAAATCATTCTTTCTGCTAGCTTCTTTTTCATTTTCCTAATACAATTTCTCAGTTCTTCCCCCTCCTTCCTCTCTCTCTCTCTCTCTCTCTCTCTCTCTCTCTCTCTCTCTCTCTGTCAATCTCTATCACTTTTTCTCTGTGTTCCTTTCTACCTTTCTGTCCCCAGGCTCAATCTCTGCTTCTGCCTGTGTCCTTCTGTCTGTCATTTATCTATTTCTCTCTCCACTCTCTTCAACACCCTTCCTCCTCTCCCCCACA